CCCCAAAACCCCAAAACCCCAAATAGATAGATTAAATAAATAGATCAAAATCATAATAATTAAAGACAATATATTAGATATATTAAATCAGATTAATGGAGAAAAAAATTAGCCCTGCCAAGGTAGTAGTATTAGGAGAAGGTAAATATCTAAATTTTTCTTGTGCTTTCTAAATATTTGACATTAAATTAATAGCGAGAGTGGGGAAAACCTCATTAACATACAGATTTTCAAGTGGAACGTTTAATGAGCATCAGCCATCGACTGTGGATGCAACCTGCATAGAAAAATCAATTAATGTAAATGGCAATATCGTAAAACTCGTCATTTGGGATACTGCTGGACAGGAAAGATATAATGCCCTTAACTAAGTATATTATCGTGGTGCTGAAGGTAATCTAGCAATTCTAATGCATATTGGTTTTGATTAAAATTCTTAGGAGCTGTGGTCGTGTATGATGCTACTGATTTAGATTCCTTCAAGAAGATGAATTAATGGGTGACAGAGTTAAAGAATTATCTTCCAGCTGAGATCCCAATTATGATCGCAGGAAATAAATCTGACCTGTATAACAACATAGCTATTTAATAAGAAGAGGCTAAAAAGTATGCCAAGAGTTAGAACAGTCAGTTTGTTGCAACAAGCGCTAAAACTGGTACAGGAGTATAGGAATTATTCACAACATTGGCCTCAAGTAAGTCCTTAAAGTATTTTAATGAAAAAGATTGCATCAGTCTGATTCATTCATAAAGTTGTATTTCTGATTGCCAATTATTATATTCTTCAGATTCAATTAACATCTATTTTAGGGATAATATAAAATCAGCTTAGCGGACACTCTAATGTAGAAGTGCCAAATAAAATTGGGGGCAGAGGAGCATTGAAAGTTGATGGTCTTGATCCGTTTAACCCAAATTCCAATCTGAAATTAGAAGACAAGCGAAGAAAATCCAGTGGAAAAGAAAAAAAGAAATGTTGTTGAATAATAATCACATAAATGAATTGACATGGTCTAATAGTTAAGTTTCTGTTACTTATTTGAACTTAGATCTCTCACCCAATATGTGTAAAGTACAGATTTCATATAATGGGCGAGTATTATTAATGGTCTAGTCAATCTTTAATATCTGCAATAAATTTATGTGTTAAGATTAATTAACTAAATTTATATAACACTCAAACATAGTTTGTTAATATATGCATTAATTACATGTCAGATATTCTTTCCATTTTATTCCTTTTGTCTTGCGATCTGAATTTATTGATACTCATCTACAGCTTGTAATTTATGCTTTTATTACTACTTAGAACCACTTTAACATTAAACTATCGTGGAGATGGCATTAATTCTGCTTAGTCTGCGCTTTCTTAAAATTGCAAAGGTTAAGAATAGACTAGCTATCAAGTTAATAATTGAAATGATTCCAATCTGAATAATGCTTAAGCATCTGTGCAGTGTTTAATCGCCTACTATTGGTAGGTTGCCTCTAATAAATTTCTTTCGATTTTTTTTCTTTTTGTCTAGTGAACTATCTGCATTCAATTAAATTTGCTCAAACTAACTAATTTCTGCTACATCTAATTAAAGCAACTCTCTTAACATTTTTAGACCTAAGCTAGCAGATTAATTATTTGAATCTAGATTTATTTCTACTTCAATTTGATCCAGAGACCCTATACATATCTGATCTTGTCTACTCTAATCACATTCATTTTGCTCGCTTTGATAGAGAGTTTCAAATGATTCTACATTGCCTAATTCATTAAATAAGGCAGTTTCATTTGAATGGTTAAATCTTATTCTCTTTACTTGATTCAAAAGTGATTTTGATTTTACAGAAATATCAAGTGGATGAAAGAATTCCTTGTTTATATACTTTAATGATACTCCATTATTTTTAAGTCTAATGACAACCTTCATATCTTGTCTGTTATATCTAATGCCATCAAAAATTATTCCTGATAATGCTTTGCTCTAATTCTACAACAGGACTATGTCTTTAAGCATGTGAGAGTGAGGTTTTTCGAAGTCGAAATTTTCTATAAACATCATGTAGTCTTATTAGATTTATTATTTCCCAGCTTAATACTGGTTTAAGAAGTCATCATGCTCCTCCACACTTAAAGTTAATCCAACATTTATAGAATAATCTAAATTGCTTATATCTAAGTCTGAAAACCTTGGCATAGACTTTTAATTAATATCAGTGTTAAACAATGAGCGTGAGAGGACGAGATCAATCTGATTTTTATCATGAAGAATACAGCTAGTTGAGTGAGAGAAAGTGAACCCAATATTAGTTTTCAAAGAGGGTTCCTAAACAATAAACCCTTTATTGCATGGATAGGAATTATATGCTTCATTATGTATTGATTAATCATTTACTCCCATTTATCTTAAAACTGCTGATTCTTTATCCATAAAAACCTACCTATTTGATCTCATAGAATCATCAAGGTAAAATTTATAAGGTGCATCTGGGTATAAAGATTCAAGGCTCGTCCTAATAATTACTTCAGACTAACCTCCTGAAAATGTCTTTATATTTGAGTTAACTATTGACTAATACTGCCCTTTTTTATGAAGGCAATATGTAGTGTGAATCATCATATCTCTAAATTTTGTCACAACTCCATAAAATCTGATACATTAAAACAAGCCACCAATATCAAATGAAATTCTTTAAACCCTTGATTCCTGAATAAATTATGCTTAATATTTGCTGCTTATACCTTAAAGATCACTATGTGTAAGTCTTCCATCCTAAGTGGCAAATACTTGAGTCATCGTATACTCTAATCCACTTTACTTAGACTGAACTGTCTTAAGCAGCCCCATTAAGTTAATAGTAATTTTAAGAAAATCATTTTCTATAGTAGAGTCCTCAGGAGAGAGTTTTTTAAAAGGTATAAAACTCCTAGTGGTATTTGGCTAAAAGCAGCTTTAAAAGTCTAGTTTCAGCTCAAACAACGAAGATTCACAGTCAGCTTGAGAATCAAATTCAAATAGCAAGTAGGATTTAACTGATAATGGATGAATATTTTTAGCAAGGAAGAAGAAGTAAGTATACTGTTAATCATCTTTAATATTCATCTCTTAGGTACCCATACTAGTAATGGAAAGATACTAGAATTACAATACTTCAAGATCTGTATCTATAATAATGTGAATCTTATTAGTTGATAGTTTCAGTTTGTATATCTTCTCAGCTTAGAAACTAAGTTCCAAATTGAGTACTCTTACATGCTTGATATGCAAATTTCCCTTAATTTTCTGAGGTATTCTTACTGAAGCATTTTAAATAAGTTCTTTCAAGTTGTCCTATTCTACGTTTAAAGAGTATTTCATTATCAGATTGTCAAATTCATTAATCAATAAATCAGATTGGTTTACCTATGCTTAGAATAACTAGTTAATTTTTTTATTGAAATTTCGTTTCGAAATGTAAGAATGAACTCCACTTATAACATCTAAATCATAAAGCTAAGTTAATTCGGAACTTAATTTGTTCTAAATTCTATTAAGGACATTCAATCCTTTATTATCACCAATAGCTAGGGCTAAAATTGCAAATAAACTTAAATAAATCTGCTATTAGTTGTTATAATTGTATAATTTCAAGATATTCTCTTTAAGAGTTGGAGCATTTGAATATTGACCTGTGTATTTAGTAATATATGTATTTGTATGGCATCCATCCTCGCATTATTTCAACTCAATATGAGGAGTAAACTCTCCCTTGAATACTGGGAATATCTCTTATTAAGTATTGATCGAACCTAGATAATCATCAAAAGTAGAAATGGTTGATTTTATTTTGTAACTAAAGTAACTTTAAGAAAGCTCATTTGTTATTTGAAGTAAGTTTGAGATAAACTTGAATTGCTCCTCAAAGTTTCCATTCATTATATCAATGCCAATAAGTATTGGCACACTTATTTGATGATTGTCGCTTTTGGCGTGTTTATTCCAAGTCTATCTCAGACTTACAACAAACTTATCATTTATAGTTTCAAGGCATTCTACTTCATTTATTTTCTGTTTATTTCCTTCACATTTGGTAAAAAGGTATTGATATACAGACTCAGATTTTTCAAATTAATCAATCTGAATATATACCTACTTATCTTGAGCAATTTAAGATAAATCCCAAACTAACTAGAGCTCCCCATTTTAGCTTAATTTTTCTTTATTCTACTAGCCTACATTCTTAATAAATATACTATCAATGCCATGATCACTAAGCAAAGATGCTTCACTCTGTGTAACAGCTTAGAAATATGGTTTAATAGTAACATGAGAAAATATATTAAACTCTCTAAATAAGTAATCCTGAGTTAACTATATAAGATCTTGCTAGATTCTGTAATCTATCATTTATGCATCATACTTAACCCAACTACTTAAGAACTATATCTGCTGAGACTTAAGTAATTTCTGAAATCTCTGCTTTTAAGCGTTCTCCTGGTTGTCATACCACTATTGGAAATAGTAAATTTGGTCAATGTTGAATTAGAAGTTAGGAGTGTTTTCAAGTAAATCCAATAATTTGTTATAAAATTGATCAATCTTGATCTAAGGATTTTCATTTAATTTTAGGTCAATTAGATCTATTTCATTGTAAATGATGAAATTTAAATCAACTTCTTTGATAAAGTTTGCCTATTTTGGATTAATATTTTATAATTACTTGCTAAAATGATAAAGAGAGACTAAGAACTATCCAAATTGCAGCATATTACAACAATACTTTATTAATATGTTTTTTCGCCATTTTTGTAATTTATTTGTTTTGTATTTCCTCATAATTTAACACATTTCTTCAGTAGGGGTTTTGGGGTTTTGGGGTTTTGGGG